GCGGGGCGCGGCTGCGCCGGCGGGGGGGGGGGCGCGGGGGCGGCAGTGGGGCTGAACCGCGCCGAAGAGCAGGTTTCTGGCATTCGGCTGGGGTGCGGGGAGCCCAGAGCGGACTGGGGGAGGCTCCCGCGGAGCCGGACGGGTTCGGAAAACTCGAGCCGGTGGCTGTGGAGCTGCCGGGACCCGCGGGGAGGGCGGTGCCGGCCGGCCGGCCTCCCCACCAGGTGGGGGAAGGCAGCTCGACGGGCAAGCAGCCGGGCTCGGCTTCCAGCCCTCTTTGGCCTTGTGGGGCGCACGGAGCCGGCGGGCAGGGCTGCGGGACGGCAGGTCCTGCGCGGGCTCTCCGCGGGAGCTGCCTGGCACGCGTGGCGTGGCTTCACCCGCGTCGGCGCTGTACCTAGTCTGGTTCTCGGCTAGCAACCTGCCTAAAAGCTGTATATAAACATAAAAAAATCTTGAAGACTGTGTATCTTAAAGACTGTGTTCTCACTTTTTTCCCAACTCTGAAAAGTTAGGATTTTTTTTTTTAATCCTAGTTCTTATCTTTGTTAGTTTATATTATTGCTTATTGAACACAAGTGCTGTTTGAGGGGAAAAAAACCCCAGTCATTAATATTTCACTGCCTTAAGGTTCATGTTTCACTACTTTTTATAGTAAACCCCATTGCTATGTGTACGCATGCCTTTGCACTGTGTCCTTCTGTATTTGTTCATCCTTATTTACATAATAAAAGTATATGCGTAAAGATTGTGTAAATATTGAAGCCAAGCTTATGGTAGGTCCTATTTTCTCAACACATAGATACTAGATAGGTGCAAATTTGTTGTTCAGAGCGGAGTTTCTGATATTAGATTGCCTCTTAATATCCTAGTTATCTGACCTGAGAGTGTGTGTGTGTGTGGGGGGGGAATTCAGAATCATCTTGTGGGGGGTAAAGTAGTCTGCTTAAAAGTTTTAGCTGGGTGCTTGATCTTCTGGAGTAGGGAGGTGAAATGAGCTGGAAGCGTGATCCCATCCCAACCAAGGGAGATGCACTATAAGCCAGGGCATATGATTGTGGCTGTTTTCAAACAGGCTAATGCCATTATGGGGTTGTGGTGAATATGAGCTGCAGATCCAAAAACCAGGGTAATCTTAACCTTAGTTCTGTGTGGATATTGCTATCATGACCTAAGCTAGTTAATTTGGATACCCTGTGCTGCTATCACTTTTGTGTCTGCAGGGTAGGCACAATCCTTCTTTTGGTATGCAGTGGGTTATGTCTTCTGGACAAATGGCAAAGGTGTTGAAATGGTCTTTTGTTGTGGGAGGAGAATATGTTTTTCCCCATGATGTTAAGGAAGCTTTTCCCGTGGGCAGATTAGCAAGTCAACTGCATTCTCTATATGTGAGTCAGGCAGAGTGAAACTCAGCTTGGAAAAGTACTCAATTGTTGTGGAAAACTGCAAGCACAGAAAGAGTACGAAAAGGATGTAGAAAATGCACATACCTAAGAAAGGATTGGTTGCTAGGTGAGGGAGTGTTAACTGCACAGAGAAACAGGACGCTGAACTGTCTCCCTATATGGGTGCCAGCTGGGCTAACAAAAGCTGCCCAGTATCTGCAGTCAGAACTTTTGAGGCTGGAACTACTTAGCATAAAAGCAAGACTATAGCTTGACTGTGTCTTCAAAAACAGAATAAAACAAACCTTTATCTCTATTCTGTCACTTTTGTAATACTAGGTCCTGTCTGTGGGTCACGTGTCTGTCGATCCACTTTGTTATAGCTCTTACTCTTTTGTGTCACACTAACACTTTAGGGCTTTTTGGTGAGCATTTTTTATTATTTCTTTCAACCTAACTTATGAACATCAATTGCAAAGCATTGCTTTCTATCTGATCACAAAACATTAATAAGAACAAAGTGGTAGTATTTGCTCTACCAGTTTTCTACAATAATTTAAGTCTTTGGAATGGAATACAAATACTATGACTGCAATTTGATAGTATCAACTACTTACTGATGGACAGCTGCTTAACATAGCACTGTACACTGTGTTTTATTACAGTATTCTGAGAACTGCTGTCAGCTTACAGTAAAGGGTCTGCTTCCAAGCATCTCTGGGATCTCTCAGCTAAGCTGTAAGCCTGCTCAGCTAATTGTCATTTACCTTAACTGATGTCTATGTAAACTGTATTCTTCCAGCTGGTTTTATGGCTTCCAATATTCACAGCTCAGATTAGGGACCTGGGATTTCTGTATTATAGGAGTAAACTTTGCAATCTTTAACAGTATTGCTGGCATAATCATTTGGCTTGAAGATCTGAGAGCAGGATTTGTATAATTTTGCCCTGTTGTAATTATACCACATATAGGCCAAAATGACTGTTTGGCATTTGAATTATCTTTAGGACTGTTGTTTTGTTGATATAGTTTAGACTTCAGTCTTCATGCAGTCTACTGCAAAGATTTGTCTATGTCATTGTACTGGCAAAAAGTTTTCTTCCACCTCAGTTTTCCAGTGAAATGTGCCTGTGCCTGGAGCTTGTCAAATCCCTCTTAAGTGGAGCTAGGGTAACTTAATTCAGAACTCTAAAGAACACCAATATATGCTATACTTCTGTATACCTCTTTAGGAGGTCACACAGTCTAGATAGGACACTAATGCTGTACATCTGACTTCTGCAGTAATAACTTGAAAGGAACAGCTATCTGAAGAATCTATACTGGAAATCATGCAAACTTGTGTATTCTTTTCTTATACTTTAAAATGTAAGGTGTAAGCATTTTTCATTCTGGAACTGTATCAAAACTACTATTTATTGAATAACAAAGGGGCCATCCTTCAACACTGTTCATGGCTTGTTGTACATAAACCTGCTTGCTCAAGAAGACTCTCCTTTATACTCCTGTTGGGATTTCCTGTGGCTAAAATAATCCACAAATGTTAACAGAAATTGAGATAAGGTTAAAAATACTTCTCCCACAGACAGTCAAGTTCCATGTCCATACAGTTTAGCTTGGCGGTTGTCTGACTTTTTGGAACAGGGGGAGTTCATGGACAGTATCTGCTTGTGCACTTTAACTTGTTAGGGTGAGAGGACTGTGTTGGGTCTGGAGGGTGTCTTGGGGGGTTCTGGACTGAGCCATCTGAAGGCTCTGTCGTACAAGACAGAGCAGTCAGGAGTGGCTGGCTTGCCCATATGGTTTGTAAGTCCCTGTGGCATTTGAAGAGGTAGAGCACAACTTGAAGTGATAGCTGTTCGATGTATGAAGCAACCATAGCTGTCAGCTTTACCACCTAGCACTTTGAGTAGAAACTGCAGGGATTGTCTGACCATTATAGCCGTGAATTGGAAGGAGATCCCAGATGACTGGCCCTGTTGCATCTTCATGCACAAAGTTAGTCTGTTCAAGTTTCAATTCAGATACAGCATAACAGGCATCTTTCTTTCCGTAGAGATCACTTGTGCGTAGCTTTTGGCATTACGTTCTGATAGTTTCAGTTCTAGCTCGTCTGAGGACAGCATGCTCTTTTTTACTGCATACCTGATTTTCAGGCCATCTAAAACTGAGGAAACTTCTACTGCAGCTATGTTAGCCTGCTGCAAAGTTTTCTAAGTCCCAGCGCTTGGGTAATCTGGCACTGCTATGTGAAAGAATAATGGTGCCCTGGGGTACTTGAAGCAGTTGCTGTTGTAACTGTTCAGACAGTAGGAGTATCTGACAGCCATTTTAATAAGGTATTTTTAATATCACTGGGGATGTGGAAAAGCATTTTGGTTGCTGATACAATCCTTGAATAGGGATATAGGTTGTCTTTTGGATAATAAACTTAAAACAAAGGGAAGAAACATTGTCAAGTGTTTGGAAACGAGTCTTAATTTTTCTGTTGATGAGGCCCTCTTTAATTCTTCAGACTAAATCATGATGTGTAGTTTATTTTTAAAAAGGACAAAAAGTCTGTACTTCACTAACAGCAACTTCTTTTTTTTAATTTTTATTTTTTTTTTTTTTTTTTTAGAAAGTAGTGGAACCAGCAGTTCAAAAGGAAGAAGTTTTGCTGGCCGGAAAGTTCCAAATACAAATAATGCCTCTGAAGAGTTATACGAAGTGGATGAATTTATAGCAAAAGCCCTCACAGGAAAGCTGACTACAGTTTTTCTTCCCATTGTCTATATTATTGTCTTTATCATTGGTTTGCCAAGCAATGCCATGGCCCTCTGGGTCTTTTTTTTCCGAACGAAGAAGAAACATCCGGCTGCAATTTATATGGTTAACTTGGCATTGGCAGACCTTCTTTTTGTTGTCTGGTTCCCGCTGAAGATTGCGTACCATGTAAATGGCAATAATTGGCTATTTGGTGAAGGTCTCTGCAAAGTACTTGTTGGATTTTTCTATGGAAATATGTACTGTTCCATTCTCTTTATGACATGTCTCAGTGTGCAACGGTATTGGGTTGTAGTGAACCCCATAGTGCATTCGAGAAGGAAATCTGAAATTGCCTTGGGCATCTCCCTTGGTATCTGGATACTGATTTTGTTGGGCACCATTCCATTGTATCTTGTTAATCAGACAGCATACATTTCAAATCTTAACATTACTACCTGCCATGATGTGTTGCCTGAAAATGTTTTGCCTCATAACATGTTCAGTTATTTCCTCTCACTTGCAATTGGACTCTTCTTAATCCCAGCTCTCCTCACTGCTGTCGCTTACATACTAATGATTAAGACTCTGAATGCTTCCATCTCAGATATAAGCACTGGGAAGAAACGAAAAAGAGCAATCAAACTCATTATCGCTGTCCTGTCTATGTATCTCATCTGTTTTACACCTAGCAATGTACTGCTTGTTGTGCACTATTTGCTCCTCAAAACATACAGCCAGAGCTATCTGTATGCGTCATACATAACTGCACTGTGTCTTTCTACTTTGAACAGTTGTATTGATCCATTCATCTATTACTATATTTCAAAAGACTTCAGAGACAACCTTAAAAATGCTCTTCTTTGCCGAAGTGTGCGAACTACACGGAGGATGCAAGTGTCTCTCTCATCGAGCAGGTACCCCAAGAAATCAAATTCTTACTCTTCAAACTCAAATGGGACCACTAAATCAACCTACTGAGTTTAATCCCAGGAAAAAAGTGAACTTTTATTACTACTGCTGAAAGGACTTAAGTGACAAGAGAGTTACTTTGTACAAGAGAGTCTGAAGAAACAACTTTGCTTTTTAATGACATTGAAGCCTGGATTTTGGAACTGGCAGCTGCTTACCCTGTGTAGAAATCATAAGCAGATAAATCTTCCCACTAGACTGGAAAAAAAATCATGACATTTCTGATGCTCTGTAAAAATGCTGCTGACTTGGAAGTGAGTCGTGGTTGAAGACATTCTCGTTCAATATCGAAGTTGTTAAAAAGCAAAATGTCACTGGAATGTTATGTAGTGTTGCTAGTATATTTAATTAACAGAGAAATCTGTTTTGTTTGGCTTTAACTGTAATGTATTAAACAGTTGAACAGATTGTGTATGTAGGACCTTGCTCTGTGTACCTGCTTACACTGCACATTATTTGAAACTGTGGAGAGAAGGAAAGGAGAATCCATTTCACCATCTTGGCGTGGGTCCAGCAATGTGACTGCTTATTATCTTTAGTATAATGTAGTTTTAGATTGTTTCCAAGTTCTCATGTTGTAAATACTAACATGGCAGAAGCCTGTAAGGTCATCCTATTGACAAGCTGAACTTGTTACCAGCTAGGACTGAGATAAAATGTTAGTTGAGGTTATACACTGTTACTTAACGCTTGCCTGTACATGATCTTAAATGGGGATATTTTACAAAGTTTTGATTAATAGCTATTTGATCTTTATATAATGTACCTTGTATTTTTTAAGATATCTAAATAAGATTTTTTTTTTTAGAACACATTTGAGTTGGGTGCTTTCTTTTATGCTTTTATATGCTCTTCAAAATCCTGAGTAGTTCAACTTGCCTGGTTTCAGGTAACAAAGATATTATTCCTAATAGTGAATTAGAAGTCTGACAACTGTAGCTGTAATGTCTAAAGGGGTTAAGTAAAATTTACCTAATGATGCATTTCATTATAGCAAAACTGTTCCCTTATCTCATTAGCAGATAACTAAAACCAAACAGTTCAGAACTGTGGGCGAATAATGAAATACAAACAAACACATTAACAAGATAGCAAACTTCAGTGCCAGTGGATTTCTAAAGTATCTTAAATCCTCTTCCCTCACCCATAATATTTGTAACAACTCATGAATACGGAGTCACATGTACTTTTCATCTGAAAAGCTGATGAGTATATGTTTGGTTGTAGGATTTAAATGCATTTTTTCATATCTTGCAGTCCTGGTAAGTTTCACCAAGTTGTACACTGAACTCGCATCCAAGTGACCTATCTGAGACTTAGGCATAGCCTGGTCCCTACAAACACAAGCAAATGGAAAAGCCCTCAGTCCAGAAAGTACTCTGAGACAGCTGGTATATAGATAGGAAATATTCATCATTTCAAATATGGAGAGTAAGGAAGGGGGTAGATTGAACTGTAGCAAGAATTTGAGCAGTCTTGTACAGCTTAAAGGCCATAAGTATTTACATAATAATTTTTTTTTTTTCTGTGTGCTAGTCTGTTCCTTCCCTTCCCGTGTTCTTTAGTTTCCACGTTCTTCCCCTACTTTGGTAACAAGTTTTTTTCCCCATACATAGTAAAGACTAAGAGGTTTGTTTAATGTGTTTGATCTCTCACCTCAAGGATTAATTAAGCTCTAGCTCTCCTTTTATCTGCTGCAGTCTTGTCTACTAACTCTTAGCAGGTGCTTAGCATGAAAGTAGGATGTTGTGTGGTAGTATTTCAGAGGTCCAAGCTAAAATAGCAACTTACATTAATGAATGTCTCTGAGGAGCAGAGAGTTTACAGCTCCTTAGATGATGTGGACCACAAATACTTCTCGGGCATAAACAGTTTGGTCTTCCTGTTTCCAGACAAAAATGCAGGGAAATAATTGCTTACTCATTACTGAACTGAAGGTGTAATGCAGCATCCTTACTGGAAAATAACTGAGGCCACAGTTCACTGAAGGGATTTGGGAAGAAGGCGGTTGCACCATCTTTACAAACTGCCGTCTGAACTCTTCCCATAGCCTGTGTGTAATAAACAGAATATGAGAATGTCCTTTATCTTGCTGAACAGCCTAGTGTGCTTCCTGCTCTGTATACGGTAGTGAACAACACAAAAGAAGGGCATCCAGTCCATGTGGTTACAGCACTACCTGTGTTCTGCCAAGAGTCCAAGGGTTACAGGTTGTATGTTGTAAAGATGATGAATTGTTTGTGTGTGTCTATATAATACCACAAAGATACCGCTCGTGATTCATAGATCACTGTTAAATTGCTGAAAAAGAATACGCTTAATATAGCCAGTCTTTTGGGGGACAAGATTTATTTCTTGTTATTATTTCATCAGAATTACACCAAATAATGCTTGTATCTATACTCTCACTCTTTGTTCTTCCTTTCATTGATGGGATCAGAGTTGGGGACTATCAAACAATCAATCAGACCACTCCACTGCAGCTCATGTGAAGGGGAGTGCTGATCCCCTTGACCACTTCTCCCTTCTAGCCTTTTTCATCTGTGGATTGACAAAGCAGGTTGCAAGGAAGAATCTTTCATCTCTGCAGCAACAGCAGAGGTCTGCCATAACGCATATGAGTTAGACGTTACTGCAGTGCTGTTGAAAGCTTTTTGAGTAAAAGTTTTAATTAATAGAATGATTTATTTTAAAAGGAGGTTGTACTATGTGCCAAACTTTGGAGAATACTGTTCAAGGAACCCACAGTCATCTAGGTAAAGCTTATTCCTTCAAACTATGCTCACTGGGAGCTGAAAAGATCTTTTAAGTCTAGTTTCTTTTTATAATAGAGATTACTAATGTCCTTTTTGCTTTTCCTTCGCTGCTTTAGTGATACCATCTGGGTTCGTGTGTTGGGGAGGGCCGTAGGAAGGGGCATCTTCCTCTGCATCGAACTGTTGTGTGGTTAGGAGGGGGAGAAAAGAACTGGTACCAAGAATTTAATCAAGCATCTAATTGCTTTTATGATCCGTATCTTCTAGATATACAATGCTGCAAGTTTGTCTTTGCTGCAACCCAAGTGCAATGAAGACTAAACCCATCTGCAGATAAAGAAGAGGAACCTTTATAAGAATTGTTTTGCGTTGTTCTTTTATTTGTCCTTGAAACAAGGACAAATTGTGGGAAATTTTTCCCATCTGTAGCTGCATTGCAAATCCTCATCCTGAATTTAGTATGAATTACTTTGCTCCAACTAACAGAGCAGGTAAACCAGGGTTTACCTGGTTTGAATCAATTTGAATCAATTCCTTGAATTGGCAATTGCGTGCCTGTGTAGCCAGGTAGTGATGGGGCAAGAACACGTAGCCCAGGAGTAATTTATGTGCACAGTGTTACGGTTTCACAAACAGCTCAAGCACGTGCCGCAGCTAAGAGAGGTGGACTAGTCTTTCCCTTACCCTGACTGCTTGATCACACTGTTCCCTTGTACTGTCACAAGCATGCGTGACCTTGGGGTGGATTGGATCAGTCCTGGGTTAAAGTTAAACCAGGATGAGGGAGGAAAGTTTACTTTTGACTTGGAACAGTGTTTGGCTGGTTTGCTGGATGAGCTTTTGGCTCAGCACAAGGGAGGAGGTCAGACTGTATCTTTCACCACCAACACCTGCTTGCACTGTGCAACTACAAGGCAAGTTGAAGCACAGGAGCTGTGAAGCCTCTGCCTGACCTCCTAAGCAGCAGGGAGCAAGCCTCCACCCATGACTGTAGGAATGGCTCTGCTGGCTCAGACCGAGGGTCCATCCAGCTCAGCCAGAGTCATCTGCTCTCCCGTGCCTTCGGAGGTCAACAAGACAGCAAGGTGTCAAGGGATGTGTCAAAAAACAGTAGGACTGCTGCAGAAGGCACCTGGCCAACATACCAGATGCACATAAGATGTGGCCAGGGAAGTTTGTTGCTTTTGCATCGTGTGAGCGCTGTGCTATGGGACTGTTGAAATGTGCTCTGAAGTTCAGGAAAAAAGGAAACAAATGAAGGCTGGGGGAGCTAAGCTCATTGGCATCTGTGAGGAAAGCTGCTGCTGAGGATTAATCTGTAACTCAAAGAGCATGCGTAACAGCAAGAAAAAGAAGTTACAGGCAAGTACCCAGGGAGGAGTAAAAGCAGTGCAGGCACATACCATATCACCCACAGTACTCTCCCAACATCCAGCTATTTTCAGCATGAGAGTTTCCTTAAGTCTGATTTGGCTGGTCTAATAAGTAACACCTGTTGGATCTCTTGCTGTGAAAATCAACCTCATTTTATTTGCTTTGAACCAGGATCCACTATCCTCATTTGGTGGCCCATGGTTCTTAAAGAAGAAAAGGATGTGAACGAGCCCCTAACTATCTTGTCCAGCCACTTGCAATTTTGTAGGCCAGTATCATATTCCCTCTCTCTCAGCTACTTTCCAGGTTGAGGAGTCCTAGCCAATTCAGTCCTTCCATTACAGCCACTATTCAACATGTGATAATCCTGTTTCCTTTCTTTGAGACTTTCCCGTTCCCATACACGGTCACCAAGCTACACACAGTGTTCAAGCTGTGGATGGTACAGTGATGACTTCTGTTTTGCTCCCTGTTACTTTCCCAATAGCCCGTAACATCCAATTTTATTTTATTTTTTTTCCTGCTCCTGGACATTCAGTTGATGTTTTAATGCAGCTGCTTGTAACTACATCTCTCTCCTGAGTGGTTACAGTCATTTTGCAAGCCATAGTTCTGGATATCAAGCTAGGATGTTTTTCCCTCATGCACCTCACTTTATAGTTATTTATATTCAATTCATCTACCAGTTCATTGCTCAGTTAGTCTTACAAGGTTCTTCTGCAATTCTTGCAGTCTGCCTAAGCCCTTACTGTCTTGACTAACTTTGTGTTATCAGCAAACTTTTGTTCCTTCACTGCTCAACCCTCTTCAGACCATTTATGAATACGCAAAACAGTACAGGTTTGGCACCACACTGGTGAGTAACTGGCATTGTGAAAA